GGCACCTGCCTACACTTCCCCCTCCAGGGTTAATTATGGCAAACTGAGCTGCCCAGCCCCCCTCAAGGAAAACTACCTAGGATTTTTCTTTGCTATTGGGGATAGAGCATCTAGGAAAGCTTTTTTTTTTTTTTTTTTTTTTTTTTTTTTTTTTTTTTTTTTTTTTTTTTTTTTTTTTTTTTTTTTTTTTATTTTTTTTTTTTTTTGTGGTTCTATAGGCGAACGGTGTTTTTCTCCCTTCGCCTTTCAGGACAGCACCTGGAGAGAGCGCAGCTCCACCCATAATCACAGGAAACACCCCGCAATTTAAAGTCCGCCTCTTCCACCCTACCCTCGGTTATGGTGTTTCCTCTTCCATGGTGGAAGCGCTGCAGAAACCTGGATATGGGGGGGCTGCACTCTCTCCAGGGGGGGGGGGGGGTGTCAATCCGTGCCTTGCATGTGAGTTATGTGGGTCCAGCTGTGTGGTGTGTGTTTTTTTTTTTTTTTTTTTTTTTTTTTTGCCCTGTATGTATTTGGATTTGCCTTTCCTGGTATGGAAGTCTGCTGCTTTAGCACAGAGGTGACTCTGCTCTGCTCCGGGGGAGGACTTGGGGTTGTTGTGGTCTAAGTCTCCCCTCTCTTGCACTCTCGCACCTTCGGTTACAGCGGGTAAGGAGGGAGAGCAGAGGAAATAAGGGTCCGGCTGGATGGGAGCCTGATCTGGTTGTCTGATGTCCTGCTCCTTTCCTATATTTCAGGGCAAGGCCAGTCAAGACTAAGGGGGTCACACCAATTAAAAGGAAGTGTCTGTCTTGTAGGAATCCCCTGAGAGATTCATGGCCAAAACCACTTTGTAAAGCGTGTGTAGCGGATTTAGTAAAAGAAGAATCCTCGCAGCAATGCAATGACATGTTTGCTTCTGTCTTAAAGGAATTGTTGGAGACTCTGGGATTGGTCCGATCCTTGTTAAACTGCAGATGCTTTGCAACAGAGCACCTTGTCCAGTCTGTGGCCATCCGTTTTCAGGTCAAAAGCAAATCAGTGACTTGACCTCAGATTCAGAGGAAGAGGGTGGTGAGGAGCAGGTTGAAAGCTCGTCCAGATATAAACTCGTTGGGAGGTGGATGACCTGCTGAAAGCAATTATACGATGCTGCAAATTCAGGAGGAGAATGTCCAGCTGTCAGTTCATGATGGAATGTACCAGGGCCTAGGACAAGCTAAGCATAGAGTTTTCCCGGTCTATCAGGTATTCTCAGACTTGGTAAAGAAGGAATGGAAGGATCCAGAAAGGAGCCCTTTTCCAAATCCCTAAGGTTTCCTTGAGGAAGACGAGTCACTTGTGTGGAATAACAAACCGAGGTTGGATGCGGCCTTTTCGCAAGTTTCGAGGTGCACTGACTTGGCTTTTGAGGATATGGGCATCCTGAAGGATGCAATGGATAAGAGGGCAGGCTCTTCTTAAAGCATGGGACTCTTCCTGACCAGACCTCAAGTTGCTTATGGCCTCCACAGTGGTGGCAAGAAATTTAGAGTGCTGGTTAGAACAGCTGAGGGATCATGTTGAGGCAGGGACCTCCAGGAGAGCGCTTTTGGAGTCGTTCCCAGTCCTTCTAAAAGCCATAAAGTATATAGCGAACGCATCGTCTATTAGAACAAAGGCCAGGTCTTTCGGTGTTTGTCCACTCTGCAAGGAGAGCCATCTGGCTCAAGACCTGGTTGAGGGACTTGGCATCTAAGGTGAAGTTTAGTGGCATTCCCTTTTTGGGGGATCTGCTCTTCAGCCCAGATCTGGAATCTGTGCTGAATAGACCAGCGAATAAGGAAAGGCTTTCCCACGAAAAATGAGAAGCAGCCAGAAAAGACCCAGAAAAGAGATTGGACCCAGAGAAACAGTGGTAAAGGGGGAGTACTCTTCAGACCCCCAAAGTGACCAACCAAGAGCCAATGACCTTTCTCTTCCAGTGGGAGGGAGGCTTCGGCCTTCTCAGTGGGAAGAAACATATCTGGAAAAATATAACATTGTCATAAATATTGTAGCCCAGGGATACGGCCTGAAGTTCTCCCAGACCCCACCAACCATATTTTGTGACCAGTCTCCCAAGGAGTCGGGAGATGGTCTCAGCAGTGTCCCTTTTGAAGGAACTGATGCAGCAGGAAGTAATCATTCAGGTGCCAAGGTAACAAGAAGGTCGGGGGTTCTACTCATATCTGTTTTAGTCCAGAAGCCTTCGGGGAAGTTCCGTGTGTGGGGTTGTGTTTTTTTTTTTTTTTTTTTTTTTTTTTTTTCCCCCCTTCAGTGAGGAAGCTACTCTTCCCGGGATGCTTTATGGTGATTATCGATCTGCGGGAAGCTTACTCACATTCCAATGATTGCTGACTGGAGGTAAATCTGGGTTCATCCATCTCACACCTACAGTTCAAGGCACTACCCTTCAGCTTGTCATCTTCTCCAAGGATGTTCACTAAAGTCATGGCAGAAGCACTAGAGCCTCTGAGGTTTGAGGAGATTTCGGTGGTGCCATATTTAGACTACCTACTCATGTTTGCAGAAGCCAGGACGCAGGTGCTGTTAGATCTTCAGACGACTCGGGCTTACCTGAGAAGCTTGGGATGGCTGTTAAATTTGGAAAAGTCCAACTTTATTCTCATCCAGAGAGTAAGGTTTTTGGGATATACCATAGATTCCGTATAACCGAGGATATTCCTTCCAGAGGAGAAGATGGAAAGGATCCAGTCAGCCCTGAGGCAGGTTCAGGGCATCCTGTCATGTCGGTTCGGCCATGTCAGTTCTGGGACTGCTTACTGTCGCCATCCCAGCAGTTCAGTGGGCCAGATTCCATTCTCACCCTCTCCAGGGGGACATTCTGTGGTAGTGGACATATCAAGATTCACTGGACATGCCTATATGGATTGCTCCGAAGGTGAAGAGGGCTCTTTGGTGGTGAGATCCAACCAACTTGGGGAGAGGTCTGCCATGGTAATTTCTGAAGGCTGAACACTTGTGCGAGTGCATGGGGGTGGGGAGCCCACTTTGGAGAACAGTCAGCACAGGGCCCATAGTCCAAAGTGGAGGCCAGGAAGTCCTCAAACTTGAGGGAATTGTAAGCCATCTAGCTGGGTCTTCTTTCCTTTCGGCAGTCTGTGAAGTGGCAGCACATTCAGGTCCTATCAGACAATAAAACAGCAGTAGCTTACATTTCAAGACAAGGGGGCACATGGAGCAGGGGTCTCCTGGAGTTGGTACTAGAGATCCTGTCTTGGGCAGAAAAGAATTTGGCCTCCCTCTCGGCCATCCACTTAAAGGGCTTGCAGAATCGGCTGGCGGATTTCTTGACAAGAAGTGTTCCAGTTGATCAGAGCTTGGGGTGTTCCTCGGGTTGAGTGGTTTGCAAGCCACCTAAATACACCGATCTTCTCCCTTCACAGGGAGGACCAGGCAGTGGGCCTGGACATGTTAGCTCATCCCTGGAGTTACCTTTTTTTTTTTTTTTTTTTGTCCTACCCATTTCAGCTCCTTCCTCTAGTACTTCGAAAGTCAAGCAAGACAAATCTAATTCTGATAGCACCCTACTGGCCAAAAAGGCCTTGGTTCTCGACACTTCAGGACCTATCCTCCAGATCCCCCTGGAAACTGCCTGTCAGAAAAGATTTGCTAGTTCAGAGGCTGGTTCTGCATCCAGAAGTGGAGCAATTCAACCTAACAGCGTGGTTCTTGAAGCGCTCCTAAGAAGCGGATATCAGATTAGCTTTGCCACCTTACTCAAGCAGGAAAGAAGTGACTAGAGCAATATATCTGAAAGTAGGAGAAGGTAGAATTTCTGATAAGAGGTTTCCAGGTGAACAGTCATCAGTCCTGGAATTTCTCCATGAACGAATGAAGAAGGGACTAGCTGCAAGCACCCTTAAATCTCAAGTAGCAGCTTAAGCTGCCTTCCTGGAGAGGTTATCCCAGGAGTCGCTAAGTAGATTTTTATTTATTTATTTTTAGCTTTGGCCAGGACCAGCCCTTTTTCAATTTTTCCAAAATGGATGGCTTTAGTTTTACAGGGCCTCACAAAGAAACAGTTTGAGCCCCCATAGGAAGCTTTGGTGCAAATTTGGTTCTAAAAACCATTTTTCTAATTGCCATTATGTCAGCTTGAAGGATTAGGGAGATCCAGGCGCTGTTCGATTTTTCAACCTTTTTTATAGATATTTTTCAGGACAGGGTGGTCCTTAGGATCTGGGCTTTCTTCCAAAAATCTCATCCTTTCATCGTATGCAAGAAATAGTATTAAATAGAAAAAGCCTACCTTCTGTACAGCTCCAGCTAATCTGAGGGAAGAGGCATTTCATATGCTATACATGAGATGTCTTTTGATATTTTTGAAAAGTGTCGAAGGAGTTTAGAAAGTCAAACTCCTTTTTTCATACTTTTTTATAGGTAACCTTAAAGGGGTGGGAGCCTCCAAGAGTACTCTGGGCAGATGGCTCAGACAGACCATCAAAGAAGCCCAAGGGGTATTACACAAAATCCCTTCGGAAGGGATTGCAGCACTCTACAAGATTGGCAGTGGCCTCTTGGGCTGAAAGGGCTGGTGCGTCTCTAGGACAGGTTTGCAAAGCGTCTACATGGTCCAGTTTTTCCACATTTATACGCCATTATAGAGTGGATTTGTTGGCCGTGGCAGACCAGTCTTCTGGTCCTGAAAAGGAGTAAACTTTTTTTTTTTTTTTTTTTTTTTTTTTTTTTTTTTTTTTTGGACATGGTCCTCTATGCCTGGAACTACTGAATATATTGGAGGGCTCTTACGGAGCAGTGGGGATGGGAAATATGGTAAGAGAACCTGTCACTATCCTAAATGGGCAAAGTGATTGCTTAAGTGGACCTCTAGCATATGCATAGATAAACAAAAACTTTGGCTGTGCAGGAATCTTTCCTGTACACAATTTAGCAGAACACAAATGCACTTTTTTTTTTTTTTTCTTAACCTGTTCCTTTCCTCCTAGCTTTTTGGCTGTGGGGCTGTGGCTCAGATGGAGTTGAGTGGTCTTGCCAAGGGGCAGTTCCTGAGTGTCAACATGGCGTTTGGGTTTGCAGTAACTGCTGGGGCCTACATCTGTGCTGGAGTGTCAGGTGAGCTACTTCCCAATGGTGTCTTTGGCATCCTCACGTCTTTGTGCAGTAAATGGATTTGAGCTTAACACCATTGCACATGCAATAATTTGAATATTTAGGTGGTTGTAAACATTTACATATACCCACTGAAAAAGCAACTAGTGTCAGCTGATGGAGATGAGACAAATCCTCCTACACAGGTTGTACCTGTTTATCTGCAGCCTGGGATTCCTTGGTGTCCAGTTATTGTGACAAGTTACTCAAGCAGGGAGGAGATATTAGATGAGAACCACACTTTGTGCTTTGGATTGAAGCTGTCGCACACTATAGAGGGATATGCTTTAATTTTCCATTTCAGAGGTTTACAACCACTTTATTGTGCTTAACCACAACACCAACGTTATGAACCCACCAGTGATGGCATCACTATACAGGCAAATATGGCAGGAAAAATACTGCTCTTGTTTTTCTATCTGTCATACACTAAAGGCTGGATAACTGGACTTTATAGACTGGAGGAAAGTTACATATGACTTTTAGAGATTACTGCTATTGCAGTTCCCTTTTGATATTTCTTAGCAGGATCAATTCTAAAATTAGAGTTAATGGGTTTTTTTTTTTTTTTTTTGTCAGATTTTAGTCTCCTAATTTGTACAGAACTGCTTAAAATTTGTTTTATATTCACTTCCTAAGATCTCCTGAACACATGAGCTAGTTAGAATACAATTGCATTACACTTGCTGTTATAGTTTTAGGCACTGCTAACTGGACAACTTGTTGTAGAACATAGGGGGGACCTCACTGGCAGGGCCGGGCCAAGGGATAGGCATGAGAGGTAGTCACCAGGGGCGGACTGACAACTCATGGGGCCCCCGGGCAATAGGGGATCATGGGGCCCCTGTGTCCTTGCCCAAACTCAAAAAAGCCTATGAAAAAGGTACCAGGGGCATCTCATGGGGCCCCCTACTGACCCCGGGCCCTCGGGCAGTGCCCAAGTTTCCAAATGGTCAGTCCGCCCCTGGTAGTCACCCTGGGTACTTCAGCAGTAGGGGGCCCAAAGAGGGTAGAACCTGCAATCTATGCTAATGGAAAAGGGGTTGGGCACTCTTTGGCCTTTTCATCTTGGTTGAGAAGGACCTTGTGCCAGCAATGTTCATTATTATGGAGCTTCCTAGTCCACTGAGCAACTTGAAGGCTGAAAGGGGATGCAGGAAGCTGCAGGTACTAAAAATTGTCACTCTATAGTTCTGTATAACCAGTGTTGAAAATCCTTCAATGCTATACCATGTAGGCAAATAGACAAAACCGTAAATTTTATGCATTTCAGTGATGTTTGGCTGGAGTTCTGCTTTGTGAACTAATCCTACAATCTGCAGGTGCTCACCTCAACCCAGCTGTATCTCTTTCCATGTACCTCCTCCAGAGGATGACTTGTAGGATGATGCTGGTCTACTTCTTGGCCCAGTTTGTTGGATGTTTTACTGGGGCTGCTCTGGTCTTTGCTCTTTACTTTGGTAAGAATGGAACACCCTTGATATCAACCATTGGGCTGAAATTATTTTTGTTATATAATTGTTATCCTAGAAAGCTATCCTGTGCCAGGGGTTTTTGGCGTAGCAATTGTTTGAAACCATGTGACCTTCTGCTATATAGAGCTGAATATGGAGTTTAGTGTGTGGGATCTATGAATTAGGTGATGACCATTATGTGCCAAAATTTAGGCTGAATTTCTGCATAGCCAACATGCTATAGTTCGGCATGGCTACTATCTGTGGCACACATCCACCTACAGATACCAGTATAAAATGGGTTGTAGATTTTGTAGGCTCATATGGCTATCTGGGAGCACAGAAATCTTTGTAGCTCCACAAAGTTCCTTACTGGCACTTTGAAGCCTACTAAAAGGCAAACAGTGTTGGTGTGTATTTATCTTCTATTTTTATTTTATGACCTATACATTATCTGAGGACAGATGGATCCAAGTCCAGAACAGGGTTTGTAGTTCCAAAAGGAAACGGCATGAGCTATGCAGGTATTATGGCTCCCGATAGCTCTGAGAACAGAGTATGAAGCAGTGCTTTTCAAACAGAGTTCAATGTAACCCTAGAATTGCTGGGGGTAACTTTGCTATGGTTGAGCAACCATCTGGTGCCTGCAGTTACAAGCCAACACCATTTGGCAATTCTAAAGACCTTTTTAATCATTTTAAAGGGTTCCTCTAAAGTGAAAAAAAGTTGAGGCACTGGTATAAAGGCTCACAAGGGCTGTTCTGGTTGTATTCTGTGCTAACATTGTAAATGCATATTACATGTGATCCAGATGCTCTTCATGTGTACAGCGGAGGTAATTGGACAGTGTCTGGAACCCAAGCAACAGCTGGGATATTTGCATCGTACCCATCGGAACACCTGAGTGCTTTTAATGGACTCTCAGATCAGGTAAGGTTTTTGTGTGTGTGTATAATGTATGTAGCCTTAATGTATTGACATCTCTGGTCTCTCTGCAATATCCGGCCATCATACAGCCTTTAATGGTTAACTGTAGAATTATGGCTAGATTTAATAGTAAAGTGGCTAAATTTGGCTTGCTATTAGCTTCTTCCAGTCCATACTGAGGAAGGAAAGGTAGGACCAGGAACACATTAAGCTGACTATACATTATTCATTTTTCTTCAATTTCCTTTAGGTTTGCTTTTTTTTTTTAACTATGTAGTATAAGGGCCTGCTTGATTGCATACACATTGAAAGTGTTTAGATTTGCCAAAACCATGAGGTCAAACCTAAATGAAAATTGTACAAGAACATTTTATAATGTATGGGCAGCCTTCATTGTGCTGTAGTGAAAAGAACAGGCTGGTAGGAGCAGAGAGGTGGGTATTGGATCAGAAGAGTTGAAGCTTTTGCTGTGCAGGGTTGGGGAGTACAAGGCTCTGAAATGCAGCAAAGGAAAATCAGGTCTCCTGACTGATCAGGTGTAACTGTGCTGTGACAAAGCTGTATAAATCTCAGAAATGGATGGATATAAATGCAAATTTGACAGGTAAAAGTGCATGTGTTTAATCTGTATTTAGCAGTTTGCCTGGATTTCAGTTGTAGGGCCTCTTTACCCACTGAAGGGACATGTCTTGTCTTTCCACTGGGTAGCTTTTAATATAATTTAGCATTTCAACCTGACCAAGAGCTAAGATTGTGATTGGTAGCCATGTGCAAGCTGGAAATTTTTTTTTTTTTTTTTTTTTTTTTTTTTTCTTTTCAGACTTTGTTCATTGAATTTGCGGTCATATTTGTTATGTTGAACCAATTTGCATTAATTTTTGTATCTTCGGCATTCATTTAGTATATGCCGAAGATTCATTGATCTGGGTGGATTAAAAAAAATTGCAGTTTTTGTTAAAGATTGCAAAGTTTTCAGTTTTTGATATTTCAAGTGGATTCATTATTCATATGTTGAAACTAGTCAATATTTCCAGATGCTATGGTATAAAACAAAATTTGTTGTCCCCAAATTTTTCAAACCTAAGAATTGCATTGGACTGTGGAACTGAACTGGCTGATTGTGACCATTACAAATTCAATTTAAATCACACCTTTTACTTGAATCTGAGTTCTCAAACAAATTTCAAAAATGAAATTTTTCCCCACAAGTCTGAACTATCACATGTGACATCATCCAAATTAAATGCACTTGTTAATTTTGTCAACTTTTAAATTTTTTTTCCCAATTGTTGATATTCATTGCTATGTCCATTTTAGAGATCTGTATACATCCGAATCTCCAAAAATGAAATTTTTGCCCAAAAAGCTATACCAAACACATGTCTAGTGATTGGAGGAAACCCACACAAAGCAGAATTGTTTACTGGTAACAATTCTGCTTTAAAGTTGGGATACAATTGATTTTGCTAATAGATGTGTATCCTTTAAGATGCTAAATTATGTAGCATCTGCTTGTTTCTTGGCTGAACCTTCTGTTGGTCATATTGACCTTTCCTTTGTTTGGTCACAGGTGATTGCCACTGCTGCCTTGATGGTCTGTATACTGGCAGTAATAGATGACGCCAACAATGCTGCTCCTCGAGGTCTCCAGCCATTTGTGATTGGTCTTGTGGTTCTTCTGGTTGGTCTATCAATGGGCTTCAATTGTGGGTACCCAATAAATCCTGCCAGAGACTTGGCACCTCGTATCTTCACTGCAATGGCTGGCTGGGGACTGGAAGTTTTCAGGTAATGCTTGAGATTTAAGAGCCTTTTTCACTCAATTCTAAAAAAGGGCTAGGAGTTATTTTATTATACCCATAGGTTTTCACCCAGTTTTGCAAATTAGAAAAATGTGAATCTTTTTGATGACAATCTTTAGATTTCATAGTATAGAAGTTTGCTAATGCTACAAAAGCAGTTATTGTGTCCATGCTTTTACATGTCTTTAAAATATGTTTTGGTGCTCAACTGTGGGTTGAATTGAAGATCTGTGATCCTTCCTCCCAAAAATCCATAGCAAAGGGGTAAAGGTTCATACACTAAATCCACTGGGAGCCCATGATTCAACTTTGTCCAACCATGCAAACACTGTTTTCCTGTGGAGCTAGCTGTCAACACAGCTGAACTCCGAGCAATGTTTTCCGCATGCGTTAACTTCAGTTTGTCTAGGGGACTGATCCTCCCAGCACAAGTCCAGTCCCTGCAGATCCTGCCCCCCCCCCCCCCCCCCCTTCCCAGTCTAGCAGTCTTGTGCAGTGGACTGCTACTAATGTCACAACCAGGGGTGGACTGGCAACTCATGGGGCCCCCAGGCAATAGGGGATCATGGGACCCCTGTGTCCTTGCCCAAACTCAAAAAAAGCCTATGAAAAAGGTACCAGGGGCATCTCATGGGGCCCCCTACTGCCCCTGGGCAGTGCCCAAGTTTCCAAATGGTCAGTCCACCCCTGGTCACCACACCTGCAGACTGGCCCTGGCCATGAAGATGTCACTAACTGTCCAATACTGGATGTGGGGCAGCACTGTTTTCTGGAGGATCGGTGCGTATAGGCTCTGTGTTCACCCCTAGACAAAATGAGCAAATGGTCACAGCCGGCTAAACTAAACATGCCTACACCAAGGACCTGAAGAGTGGTGAGGAACTGGCTTGGTTGAGGATAGCACTGGGTCCTTGAACAGGAAAGTCTCGTTTTTATTAAGTCAGCAACTGCAGTATTTGCAAAAGAAATAGTCAGCAAGCTACAAACAAGCTGAAGATCCTCTTTACTAGCATTAAGCGAAACCATTAGGGTATTTACACTCCTGGTGAGATCTGGGGATGAGAGCGCAATGGACTGGAGTATCTTCTCACAAGATTTGCTCTGCATTCACAATAACCTCCATGAAAGGACAATATCAGGATCAGTGATGTGGAAGGTAGGAGGAGGGCAAGTGTAATTCCAACTTTTAGGTCTTATGCACACTGCTGCTCTTAAAATTCACTCAAAGATTTTTGCCAAATCCCCTGAACTCCGTAATAGCCTATGGGGTTTATTTACTAAGGCTGGAAAGTGCAAAATCAGGCTCACTTCTGCATAGAAACCAATTGGCTTCCAGGTTTTATTGCCACAGCTTAATTGAAGTTCAGGTTAGAAGCTGATTGGTTTCTATGCAGAAGTGAGCCTGACTTTTTTTTTTTTTTTTTTTCTCCCCCATCTTTCGTAAATACACCCCTATTTTGTCCATGCACAAATGGGCTTTTACCTGCATTTAGGACCAGCAGAGTTTAGAGGCAATAAAATGCTCTTCTGCTGAATAATTGCATGCCAAAGCGCTTGACACAAATAAATGCAGTACACACGTTTACCAGCATCGTGTTTTTGGTGCCATTAAATGACAATCTTAAGGAGCAGTTGTTTTAATGTCCAGTGTGCATGTACCCTTAGGTGATGACTTCTAAAAGGAAGGTGGCTTGAGTAATTTTAGCATACCATAAATTTTATTACAAGGACCTGCTTTAAAACTGAACTCAATTGTTGAATAAAATTATATTCTGTAAAAGGAACACTCCTAGCTAGTAGACGTACCTGAATTTTGTTCTTGTATTGTCCTTTATGTAAGCCCAAGCAAAGTAGGATTTGGGCTAAAAGTCAATTGGCCTTAACCCTTTGAGGGCCAAGGGACATTTGTCCCATGTTTGTAATTGCGTGTATCATCTGGTTAAGAACTTTAAAACTTTTTTTTTTTTTTTGGTTTGAGTCAAAATATTAATTCTTAACGACAAATGGATCTAGCTTTTTGCCAATTATTTCATGAAATGGCTTAGTTTCAGCAACTGAAGTGTACGAAATTTAAAAACAAAATTGATTCTTTTGGTGTTCCAAAACCTTACGGTCCTCAAAGGGTTAAAGGATTACACAGTGCTGCCAGTCGTTGAATTGGCTGAAGACTGACTAGAAAGATGCGTACATTGGCAGCCCTGGGGTTGGTTACTCTATGGCTTGACCATGAAGATGAGGCCCTAGCTGTTTTATCCAGAGCTTGGATTAGGCCCAGCTAAACAGAATTAAATACATTCACATTTCCTAGAGTTGGGCTTTATTGTACTACATAAATGCTCAAATGAATGCTAAGCCTGTATTGTAGATGACTTTCTAAAAGTAAATGCTATTTCTTGCAGGGCTGGTGGCCACTGGTGGTGGGTGCCAGTACTGGGACCAATGATAGGGGGAGTGGTGGGGACCATGATATATGAACTGATGATTGGAATTCACCACCCTGCTCTCCACAAGGACAAACCTGAAGAGGATGGTGAGGAGAACCACACGCGACAGTACGAGTTGGTTCAGTCTAATGCTTAACATGGACATTATTTTTACCAAGTCTTACCAGATATCAAGGCCTGTCTGACTGAAAGCCATTCTTTGTCCTAGAAGCCATATGTGACTTTACCCAACAACTGCTATGGTTTTTGTAAGCATATTGTCTTGGCAACCAAATTTTTTATTTTTTTTTTTTTTTTCATTTGGGCCAACTAGCAAGCAGAACCAACAGCAACGTGCAAGGGGCCATAATCTACAGCAGCCAATCAGAAAGCCTCTTTAAGCTGACATCTGACTCGCTGGGTATTGGAAATCCTTGTTTTGTAGACATTTGCTCCTAATATATATATTTTATTTTTTATTTTTTTTTAAATCTGATACATTTACTACATACAAGGGAATGCTTACACCTTTTGATGTAATAAGATTTTACTTTTTTGAATGTAAACTTGTAATATCTGGGTTATTGTGCAGAATAAATTGTGTAATAGTAATTCTTAAGGCTGTGATGAGCCATGAAGTTTAATTTTTAGCTTTTGTATTTATCAGGTCAAATAAAGTCTAACTCTGTGCCAACATTTGTATAGTCCACTATCTGTACCAGGACTTTGCAGGTAACTGGTAAAGTAAACTTCTATCTTACTGAGATATGGGGGCTAACATTGTAGATCTCCTTGACTTAAAATTTTAGCTGCTTGGCTGTTAAAGTGGTTCTAAAGCAGGTGTACAGGCCACAATTAAAATGGTTTTAGAATTTTTTTTTTTTTTTAAGAATAGCAGAATGAACACATTCCTCCTGCAGCCACTGAAAGGTGGACGGAGAGGACAAGCTGGATTTCAGTGGTTGCAGGACCAAAATTCAAAGGATCGGTTCCTCTATATACTACCCTAAGTGTAAAAACTGTGACAGGGAGGTTGCACAAGCCCCATGGTGTGGTCACCATTGCAAGCCCTGACTCTACACCAATGGTTGGGGAGGAGAAGTGGGTAAATGTCCTAACTATGGGGTTTTACCTACCCAGAAAAACTTGAGCCCTTACTGTCCTGAGCCCCCTATTAGGCTGCTTTCACACTGATGCATTGCTTTCAGCTGTGCTTTGCTGTAGATTATAACTTGCAGATGTGGTCCACTGAAAAACCTGCATTCAGTTTGAGATGAGAGGGCTTTGAGGGCCACAGGTTGAGCACTCCTGTTCTAGAGTTTTGCACTTAATGTGATTTTTAAATCAAACAAATTATATTTTTTATTGGTCACGGTATATATTTTATAGAACATATTTTGGTCAGAGGATACATTGGGTGGGTGTGTTAGTCGTGTTTGTAAGATTTTTAGCATGGCACACCTGATTCTTCCTTCAACACAACTGACATCTAGATGCAGCATCCTCAGCTGCTTTTAAGCCACACTCAATGTGTGGATGTGGGAACTGATACTTAATATTCCACCTGCTGGTTCAATGAAGAGACTATGTATAGGCCGCACCCCTATCGCTCTAATAGTTGAGTATGGAGAAAATGTAGACATCAAGCTTCGCATGCTTGTTTGGGCTGTGATTCAATGTACTGGACGTCAAGACAATGACAGTCAAGTAATTTAGCACGGAAAAGCAACAGGTTTACTGAAATGCACCTCTTCCCGAAACAAAGCAAGCCCATTTAGAGCTTGCAGAGTCAAGTGGCACCCCAGGTGACAGAACATGGAGCCAATCTCATCAGTCTCTCTGCCAGGTGCTACTGGAGAGCAATATGTGCTGCAGGTTGATTCATACCTGGCAGAGGAGGAAGACTGGGCTGATTTCCACCTTGAGCCCAAGCCTTGATGCAGTAGGTTGAGGTGAATCCCCTGAGGCCTACATCTTAAGCTCCAGCTGCAATGGATCCTTGGACTTGGCTGTATGCAAGGGGAAGCCTTACCAGCTATCCAGGACAAAGTAGCAGATACATTTCTCCATATAGCCAATGAGGAAGAGAACCTTGAAAGCTGAACTCATGAAGAAAACAACCATGACAAAGACTGGAGCAGTAAAAGTCATGTCCTTGAGCCTTAATTAAAGATTAAATCTTTCAACAAAAAAATAAAATGCACATTTTTTTTATGCAGGTAAAAAAAAGGTGCATTTAATTTTATTTTGGCAGCCTGTAAAGCATTGTATCAGAGATTAGCAGATCACCGGTGCCATGCAGATCTCCTGCAGACCTGTCAGTTTATCTGCTTGCTTGTGCCTCATATGGGTAAGCCAATACTTACTGACAGGAAGACTCAATCAACTTCTACAGTGCCATGGTAGCTCATTGAGAATTACAAGCCAACAGCTGCAAAGGCTGCTGAGACTCTCATTCACAGAAACTTTCACAGAGAAGATCCCCTGCTAGCTGGGGGGGGGGGGGGTGTGGAAATCACACCTGTCGTTACGGTGTAACATGTTACCAAAGTGCACCTCTACATGCACACCTCCGATTCCCCACTGTGATCATCTCCCTGTACCCGCTGGCACACTTTGGGCCCTGCATGGTTGTGTTATTCATTTGACAGCAATCTGTGAAGGAATGAACTACAATTACTATCTGCCACTGTGGCAGATGGTTTATAGTTCTCAAAGAACTGCGTGGGTACTAGTGAGCACTTTCACAGTTCATTGATATTCCTACTCTCCATTAACTGTCTGCTGGTACGAGCAGTATGGGCAGACAGCTACTCTATACTGAGATTCTGCAAGATCCTGACATTGCACAAGCGATCGGCTCTGTAGGCTTCAGGAAAAAAAATAAATGCACATTTTTTTTTACCTGCAAAAATGTGTATTTTTATTTTTTTTTTTTAAAAAGGTAAACTTCTACTTTTAAAGTCAATAGAGGGGGCAGTGAAAAAGCAACAGATTTGGAAGGAAAGCAGCAGTATGTTTGGGCAGCACAGTGGCTAAATGGTTAGCACTTCTGCCTAGCGATACTAGGGTCATTGGTTCAAATCCCAACCACAGCACCACCTGCCTGGAGTTTGCATGTTCTCCCTGTGCCTGCATGGCCTTCCTCCCATGGAAACCTAGCATCCTAGCTATGGGCTTTAAGGCAGAGGATATTTATGCTTTAATCAGTCTGGCAGGTTCTTATGACTGATTTATCATTTGTGGGGCCAGAACCACTTGATATATTTTGGGAATAGTATGAGCAGGTGTATAGGGGTCTGCTGGACTGGAAGGGGCTTGCCCCAAAGGTTTATATCATGACAGCCCTTGATTTTAATAAAAAAAAACACTATACCCCCTGAGGATTTGAAAGTTTGTGTCTCTTAAAGAAGAATGTGGATGGGTGGGTGGTCAGTGCAAATGAAGTTGAGAGTGTGTGGGAATATGGTCTACCAGTTGCCCCTATCTGCCATTACTGGTAGGGATAGGCTTTCCATCTTCTACCTTGGTCAACCCAAACTTTATCATAAATGTGGAGCCAAAGGACATTTTTTCCTCTTCCTGGCCAGAGCAAAAGTGCTCTTTGTGTCAGGGCCTGGGCATCTGCCTAGGGAATGCAACATCATTAGATGTATTATGTGATCAGATTGGTCACCCTTATAGCCAGTACCCCCGAAGCCATGCACAACAAGCCAGAGTTAGTTAAAGAATTTTTGTCTGGACAGGGAAGAGTCTGAGGTTGTACCAGGGGACTCTAGTGTCCACTTCATCAGAATCTGTGCCTGTGAGGCCATCTGAGGTTTCAGCATCCCTATAGTCTGGTTCCCTACGTAGTGTCAGAAAGCATGGTTGTTGGATCTGTGCCTGAACCTGTTGTTGGAGAGAGCTGGACCAGTGCATATGGTTGCACTGACCCTGTCTGTGTCAAAGTGCAACTCAAGATAAAGGGATACCAAAGGGTGGAATGGGTGATGGATTGGCTGATGGTGGGGGGCTAGGTGGGAAGGGTAGGGGGATTAGAGTGGCTGGTGTAGAATGGTGTGCCTCTTCCATATAGAAGTCTTTAAATGGGTGGGTGTGGCTCTGCGTATCCCAAGAATGAGCATATGGGGCCTTTCAGATTTGCTGATTTTGATTGACACTTTTTCCAGGCAGCGTTGTAGTCCATTACTACATGTGGAACACACAGTGACAGACTTCCAATTGGGGAAAAAAATACTTCCTCTCAATGTGGTGGTGCCCAATATGCTGGTGAGATTGGGAAGATTAAGGGTCTTGAGAAGCATAGGTGGTGGCGGGAGGCCTGAACAAAGGCATGGAGGAATATCAGGTCATTGCAGCTGGTGTCTCTGGGTGTGCAGATTCTGTCCTTTCACAGCCCCTAGACTTTGATAAGATCAGATTTTTGAAAAAGGCAGCATGCAGGGGTTACATGTTAAAATAAATAAATGTAAGGCCTGCCTAAAGTAAATGGTTGCTTTAGGTTCAAGTGAGTGGCTTTTACGGAGCTTCTCGCATATGTTTTAGGTAACTAAACTGTACTTAAAAGTTAGTGTTTTTTAGTTTTTGTTAAGTTTAAGGATTAGATACCGTGTCTGATTTTTATTGCTGTCTGGGGCCCTGCTGGGGAGATCTTCCCATTGTTTTTCCTGATGATCATTGTTACCATAATGGGGAATGAGTTGTCATGAGAGCAACAGGTGAAGGGAAATCTTCCAATGGGGGACAAATGCTTTCGAAGGAATTAACATCACTTTGGGGAGATTTCTTCTCCCTTTTTGTTGCATTTTCAATAGTAAGTGAAGGGAAATCTCCCCAGCAGTATAAAGATAACAAAAACTTGAAATCCTAGGCGACTGTACTCCAGCCCATTACAAAAATGCATTCTTGCAGGAGTTTGAATGCCCTGCCCAGTTATTCTGGGAGGTACAGGGACATCACCTATGCCGCCCAGAAATGTGGGGCAGAAGTAAGCTGGTGTTTGGTTTTTTTGGACAAAGGGCTTGTTTATACATTTTAAAGTGGACCCCCAACACCAAAAAATCACTGGCGCATGCAACCCTGACTGCAGATCCCTAAACATCCACAACTCCCATCTAAAAATCAACATATCTTTTATTACTTACATTTTAAAGTGGTTGCAAACCTCAGACATAAAATATGAACAAAGCATCTCATAGTATGTACATCATAATTAAGAGCACTAAGTGTTATTTCTGTCTGCTGCTTTGTTCCTCTATCAGCAATAATCAACAAGTTTTTCTGACACCAAGAGAAAAATGGTGACAGGGGAGGGAGCTCCATCAGATTGACAGCCTGAGCTCTGTTCCTGTGAGCTGTGTGGGAGGGGGTATATCCCTTCCCTCCAATCAGCTCTCAGAGCTCTTCTCACTGAGCTCTGCAGTGTGTAATTTCAGCTCACCGTCCCTGTCTTTCTGAACGCTCTGATATGCTTTATAAATTCAGCACTTGGAACAGATGTAGAGAAGAGAATACTTCAGATAAACAGGTACAACTCCTGTAGGAGCATTTTTTTTAAATCTGTGTATCACCTGCAGCCAGTCACCTCACTGGGTATATGGAGGGGTTCACAACCACTTTAATTGAATCCTATTTTCTAGTCTATAGTGGCACTGCTGATGTAGCCCTGACCTCAAAGGTGCACCTTGGAAAGGCTACATCACCAGTACCTTCTAAGGAGATCAGGTGGGTAAAACTGAGATCGGTGTACACAAGACTGAATAGGCTTTTCCAAAGACTTCATGGGTGAAAAAAAAAAAAATCTATATATTTTTTTTTTTTTTTTTTTTTTTAACCTAACACAGATCTTGCACTGATGTCATTGGTGGGCTGGTAGCAAGAAGCAGCCAGAGACTGATGATGCCATAGTGGCAGCATGGCTCTGGAAGAGCAACATTCGGATATGCCTCTATACACAAGAAGGTGGAATGTAACGAATATCAGATGAGTTTAGGGGACAGTGTGCTTTAAATAAATGGTTTTGGGGGGCTGGCAGCAGGAAAAAAAAAAAAAAAAAAAAAGGATCTTTCATGACTTTCTATGGCAAACAGAAGGTCCACTTTTTTAATCATTCGTTTGAAGTGATGTACAGGGATTGCATGTGGACAGCAATTGATGCCACTGTCATGACACCTGTGTTATCATGGAGAGGATGCCATGGAGGTAAGCAACTGGCACTCAATTGTCTGCAGCAAACATTCTATAGATTTTCTGATCTAAGCAATTCTTTTACTAGGGACAATGGATAGGAATCTATTAGATTTAAAAAAAAAAAAAAAAAAAAAAAAAATATGATAGGACCGGTCAACTCCTAGAATCCAAGCTTGATTTGAACAGTGGCAAATTCTGAATGGTGGCCTAATATTTGTTATAATAGGATGAAGGTCTCTTCTCAGCAGCTTGCTCCAACAATACAGCCCATCCCCTCTATAATACTTTGTCCAATTACTTTAGTCCTGTAAGCTCACACTTTTTGCACCCATAAAAAATATACCGACCACGTCTTTGGTAAAGGTGCTGTAGCCCTCAAAGCCAAGAACTTCACATGATTGCAGAGAACGATGGTCATCCGATTTTAGGCAAGGTTCCCGTTACATGAGCTAAGAAGCATCGCAGAAGGTGTATTCCTGTGAAATTCACAGAGCTGCATGGAGAACAAAAAGGTTGTTATTAAAATACAAAAATAAATAAAATATTGGGGTATATGTATTTTATTTTTTTTAAAAATTCACATAGTAATTCAATCATTGATACTGCGTACATTTTGTTTTCTACGTGAATAAGGCAAAAAACACATATTAGGCCATTTCCTTTTGCCAGATCAATGCTTTTGCATTGATTGAATGAAAGAAGGAAAATACTGCATTTCATTAGTAGATGGAGCTATCAGGATTTTTCTATGATACTTAGCGCCATTTAGTGGCCAAGTGCCGTATTTTCCATTTTAAATCAATGAAATAATTTGTTCAGCACAGGAAATAGATCCAAAAAAAACAAATATTATTAGGCTATCAATATATGCACTTTCAGGGGGCAAATTGCTATGCAGTTTTTTTTCTTTATAACTACACCCCCCTCACCTTCATTCAAAGCAAAAAAAAAAAAAGAGAAAAAAAAAACACATTTTTGTGTACCCTTTGAAGTTATTTTCACTATACGATTTGTGTCTACTTTATGGCCTGTAAAAACGCAAATGTATATTTATTACAGCCATTTCAAATAGCACCAACAATATACACAATGCTTTAAATACTGTACATGGATATCAGTCCCTGCCCTCAAGGAACTTAGGAGGTCTCTAGTTCACATACCTACACACACAGGGTCAATTTAGACAGGAGCTCATTAACCTACCAGCATATCTTTGGAGTGTGGGAGGAAAGCATAGGGAGCAAATGCAGACTTCTGCAGGTAGTGTCCTAGCTGGTATTCAAACAGAGGACCCTCAGTGCTGCAAGGCAGAAATGCCAACCACTAAGCCACTGTGCTGCCCCGTGCACTGCATATAAGTGATCTGACTACCGCAGGTCCAATTTTCCATTTAATATCCCACTGGAATAATGGAACCTGTTCATTAAACAGGATGAAATACAACTTTATCCCCCCCCAAAAAAATTAAAATTTAGGAGTAGTACAAATGTACAAACACATTATGCAGTATTTGTTTTTTTTTTTTAAATTAAAGACAGCCTGTACGCTGGAAGCTGTGCAAAAAGAGGCAAGCAAAAGATTAGTCACCAGTATTTCCTGTGGTCTCCCTGTAGCTTATCTTTCCCCATTACGGACTTGTTCTGCTCTGTGCGGAGGCAGCCATATTGGTAGAAGCAGGGCTTTGCTTTCTCATGTCAGAGCCTCCAGCAAGGAGAACAGTGAAAAGCACAGTAGTGACATCACCTGGAACTAGCAGGCAGAAGCAGCCGTGCCTTAGATCTCACACTGCGGATATACAGCTATGAGAGTGTAGACACGGGAGAGCCTATGCACACTCCCATACTAGGAAATGCACTGCCATGTTTCAGAAATATTTATATATGTTATATATTTTCCTATGTTCCCTATAACATAGTAAATCTTCACTTTTTGAGCTCAGGTTCAATTTAAAACATGTTTTTATATAGAGTATGATGCAGTGTACTAGGCAGGCAGCTATCATGTTCCAAGTTTCCATTCAGACTGGTAGATGAGCCTCCTGCTAGGTCTGCAAATAGCTACAATCACCATCCCATGAACAGATAAACATTAATTACTTGTGGAAGGAAAAAGGAACATAAAAGTGTGTAAACAGCATTGTCCTAGACACTTCAAAATGTACAAAGGTCCTCTTCCTAACTTGATTATCTGCAAATATTTTCCCAAAGCTGCCTGTTTATGTGTGTCAGCTGTCCTCATGAACTTAAAAGGATCTTCAATCTAGAAAGAAAAAAAAAAAAAAAAAAAAAAGTCAGTTGCTACAAACACTGCAGCCGCTGTTTTTTAATAAAAGGAAACTTACCTGTCCAGGAATCCAGCGATGTCCTCACGTGGGTCAGTTTTTCAATGGTCTTCGGTTCCCTGGCACCGGTATGTTTACTGTGGGAATCTGGCTGTGACTCCCTGTGGCTTCATGCCATCTTCCCACTGCGCATGCGTGAGCCACTCTACAAGTTGTGAATGGTCCTGCAGCCTCGTGGGATCTGTGACATGTATGAGAAGGCTACAAGCAAAAAAAAAGGGGGAGGGGGCAAACTGTCAAACATAGGTTCCTGCTCCCCCCCAAAAAAAATTATGATGTGCCAAATGTGGTGTGTGTGTGTGGGGGGGGTGTGTGTGTTACATAAAGCAGAACTTTCCCTTTAGGGTGAAGTGTTCTGCTTTAAGACATAGCCATGGGGTCCAATATTTTGTTGGGTAAAGCAGACCACCCTAAAATAATGTTGCACTGCCTCCTTCCCCCCTTCTCTCAAACATTTGGATATTCATTCTAGGCAAGAATGACATTCATATCTGCTAGCACCTCTTCAGGTTTCTGTGCATGCGCAGATCTGCTTTGAGCAGCTGTCTGTGTACACTTCAGAAATACTAAAATTAGGTTGGGGGAGGCCAAATAAAAGGGGATTAAAGTCCTCTTTTAAAATGTAGGTCAGGGTAAAAAAAATGGACATATTCAGTACATCTTTGCAATATATGGAAATTTGTATTTCTTTAAAAAAATAGAATAAAAAAATCCCTGTGTAATAAGTCCATCCGTGACATTTCATTGCTATTAAATATTCGTGGGATTATAACAAAGTGGAAGCAACTGGGAACAGCAACTCAGCCACCAAGTGGTAGGTCACGTAACATGACAGAGCGGGGTCAGCTCATGCTGAAGCGCACAGTGCGCAGAAGTCGCCTACCAATCAATCACTTCATGTGGCCTTCAGATTAGCACAACAACAGTGTGTAGAGATCTTCATGGAATGGGTTTCCATGGCCGAGCAGCTGCATCCAAGTCTTACGTCACCAAGTGCAATGCAAAGCGTCAGATGCAGTGGTGTAAGGCACGCCGCCACTGGACTCTAGAACAGTGGAGACGTGTTCTCTGGAGTGACCAATCACGCTTCTCTGTCTGGCAATCTGGCGGACGTGTCTGGGTTTGGTGGTTGCCAGGAGAACGGTACTTACTGACTGCATTGTGCCAAGTGTAAAGTTTGGTGGAGGTGGGATTATGGTGTGCGGTTGTTTTTCAGGGGTTGGGCTTGGCCCCCTAGTTCCAGTGAAGGAAACTCTTAAGGTGTCAGCATTCCAAGACATTTTGGACAATTTCATGATCCCAACTTTGTGGGAAGAGTTTGGGGATGGCCAACATGACTGCACACCAGTGCACAAAGCAAGGTCCATAAAGACATGGATGAACGAGTTTGGGGTGGAGGAACTTGACTGGCCTGCACCTCAACCCCATAGAACACCTTTGGGATGAAATAGAGCGGAGACTGCAAGCCAGGCCTTCTCCCCCGACATCAGTGCCTGACCTCACAAATGCTCTTCTGGAAGAATGGTCAAACCTTCCCATGGACACCCTCCTAAACCTTGTGGACAGCCTTCCCAGAAGAGTTGAAGCTGTTACAGTTGCAAAGGGCGGGGCCAACTCAATATTGAACCCTACGGACTAAGACTGGGATGCCATTAAAATTCATGTGCGTGTAAAGGCAAGCCGACTAATACTTTTGGCAATATTGTGTATGTGGTGGCAGGCAGGGTGGGTACAATATGCATTGCTGTCTTTTCCTGGGGCAAACTCCTAGCTGTCATTGGTGGTCAACTATTGACAAATGGCAGCTGGTAAGCACCACTCCTGATAGTAGTAGCACTGTGTAGCCAATCACAGCATGGCATGTTCAAGAGCACCAATTACCAGCTGTGGGTGTCACAGCCCATTTAAAGTGTTGGCTCAGGCCTAAGTAAAGCTGTTAAAAAACCATTGCATTACCATTCCCTCTGATGCATTGTCCAGGTTATAATGCAAGTGAAAAATCCAACAGGAGAGTGGAGCCCCTTTTACAGTAACCACTGACAGAATGCAGTTCTGGAAACTCTAAAATTTATGTTCTCTGGTGAAATTTAGCACACACACACACGTCTTAAAGTTGAACTGCACTGCATCTGAGCACCAAAAATTATATTTAATTCATTGTTAATATTCAAAGCCAACTCAACCATCCATCCATCCCTCCATGCTTTATTTTGTTGAGAATTAGTTTTGAAAAACACCCCATGGCATTTCTGGTAGTGGCCATCTTGAGTAAGGGCAGATGATTCATGTAGCATTTACTTCCTGGAATCTATCTGCCCTTAGATCAAGCATTGGCTCAGCTGAGAACCCTCCCCTCCTGAAGACTGTATGACATCATTTGCCTAGGCAGGAAATCAGGAAGTAAGTGATGTAAAAAAAAAAAAAAAAAGTTAACAAGTAAATATGATATACATTTCTATCTATTTACTAATGTTAGCAGCATAAGGATTAAAAATAATCCATGTTCATTGAGAGAGTGAAGTATCCCTTTAATATCGTTTTTATTTTTGTTTTGTTTTTTTGGCTTTCCATCTCCTGTTAGAAAGATTTTCTTTCATTTCCTGTTCTAGCAACACAACAGTAAGTTAAAAGAAAGCTTTGGGGAATGTCTATGCCAGTGACATCTGTGTAAGAGGAGGTGTCACCATTGCAGGATTTTCCTCTATTGGTATTCTAGATATGAGAATTGCCAGGATAGACAGAGGACAAATCTCCCCATTGGGGACATATTGGGGATATAGCCCTTCCCTGCTCTATTCAACACTAAATGAGAAAGGGAATCAGAGCTTATTGCAGAGCTCCATCTACTGGTTAATCTATACATCTCTAGATTTAAATTTAGTAATAAAAATATGGACAAACTTTTAAACATATGAATCAGGGATGTTGAATTCCTATCGCCCGATGCCCGGGACATGTAGTTCTCGGCGCTGGGCAGGTAGTTTTTCTTTACCTTCAGCCCTGCTGTGGGCAAGCAGCAGGGCTCATCTGTCAGGTGGAAGCATTGAGGCGGCAGCGCTGCCAGCCGAATGCTTCCACACAGTGCCAACCTCTCCACCCCCCCGTGTGAAGCTCCCCCCGCTGCCCACTGTCTCCCGGGCTCCGCTTGCCAA